AAGATGAAATGACCTAAGATTGGCCTGAAATCAGCAGTTGGATTCTCTGAGGCTGAGAGCTGTGTGTGTGACATGCCAGGATGTGGGTGGTTTGAGTCCCCTGAGCTGTGCACCCTGGCTGTGTCTGGGTAATGGGATGTGATGGATCTGGGGAACCTGGGCAGAGTGAGAAGGGCTGGATGGGAACACTGCACAGCCTCATAGCAGAGGGATGGCTGTTGGAGGAGGGAGGTGTTTTACCACCTTTTCTAGATTTTCAGGGACTGGTAGATCAAGGTATTGAGGAAAGAAAATAGAGAAACCAGATTTTTTTTTTTTTTTAGAATTGATTAATTATAAAAAGTTGATACCTGTTTCCTCTTGTTAGGTTTCAATATAATCATTTTACTGTTAGATTCAGACTAATATCTGCTTAACATTTTTCACTGTTTGCTCTCTGTTGGAGGATTCTGCTTTAGGAGAATTTCCTGTTGGACCTCAGTCCTTCTTATCGAACTGGCTATTGGTAAGAATTAGAGCTGCTTGCTTTTCTTCATTTATACTCAGAACTTCAGGAAATCATAAAGGATGACTATATTATACTATCGATGTGATTTCACTTTTTAATTTTTCTTTTGTATGAGTGTATCCTTTTGGAATGTCCACATAATATAAACTGAACACACAGGTGGATTTTATAATGGTTTGCACTAACAGACTTCATAATAGAAATTTCGCTGCCAAAATAAAATCTGAAAATTTATTTTGCATAGGAGGTGTGTTTAGAAAACTTTTACTGACTCTACTTGGAGTATAAATTCCTTCCAACTTGAAAGAAAACTGAAGCTACAAGGAATGTACTTGCTCACTTCAGCTGAATATTAGGAAAGATAAAACCGTTTATAGTGGTCAATGAGTCATGGGACACAGGCAAATCAGTATCATACTGATTTCAAAATAGGAACCTGAAATTTTTACTAAGAAGGCTGCCTTCATTGCTGGGCTGGTAAAGTTAGGATTTGTCATGCATTTCTATCAGTGGTGGTATTACAATGCCATGTCTGCAGACATGTCTAACAAATTGATTTAAACACTTTTTAGTACCTTAAAAATATTCAGTTTTTCCAGCTCAGAAGGATCTGATTCCCACTTGGTTAACTATAATCTCAATTGTTACTCGAAATAACTCTTTCAAGAAATGTCACCCAACTTGTAAAATAAAATTCACTAAGTTTGATCAGCATTCTCTCATACCATAAAATCATCAGCATTTTTTTCCTGGAGTTGCTTCCTGGTTTTATTTCTTCATCACAAGAAGCAATTTTGTATTTTCAAATTGTCTCCAAGTGTCAGCCACTGGTTTTATTTCCTCTTTTATACAATTTCATAATTTCGTTCTGTATTTGCTTCCCAGTCTGCAATGTAACTTCTTTCTCTTTCACTGTTTTGCTCTATGGGTCAGGCTGGTACTGACATTGTTCACTAAGTCACTTACCTTTGATACCTTTGACTGTTGGTTTCTCTTCTATTCCATGTACTTGAGTAGTCTCTTTCAAACTGCCAGGACCAAAGCTTTTTGTGAAGGACTTTCGAAAGAACTCAGACATGAAAATGCTGCATAACAGAGTGTGCTTTATAGCCTAAAATCAAGTCTGGTGCACAGAAAAGAAAAGGTAGCAAGTGTGACAACCATTTGTAGAACAGGTTGCAAAGATGTTCCTGGAAACCATGGGTCAGTAAGTCTGTCTTTGATAGAGACACATTAAGGAAGTGTAAACAAGAATATAATAGGTCAGGACATTTAAAAGGTGATGCAGCTTTTGCAGAGGGAAGTCACATCTCACAAAAATTACAGTGTATCTGGACTTTCAAAAAGCTTTTACACACATGTCTTCACCAAAGCCTCTAATGAAATAAAGAAATAAAACTAATGGGATGAAAGGTGGAGTTCTACTATTGATAAAGAATTGTTTAAAAAGAATAGCAGAAAAGTCTAGGTATCAATAGTCAGTTTTCAAAATGAAGGCAGATTAACAGCAAAGTCTCTGAGGTTCTTTGCTGACAACTGCACATTTTAACAGTCATAAAAAATATAAGAAAAGAGATAAATACATAACAACATTTCCTTAGGATAGTCAACTATAAACCTGACTGTAATGAAACATGGAAGGCCTGTTCTTCCCTGGGTCAGTTTGTAAGGTACTCAGCATCCCAACTGGCATGTCAGAGAGAGCCTAAGCTGCTATGCAGAAACCTGCCAGACATTTACTCACATTACATTTTGGAAAAAAAAATTAAATTCCACAATATTTCAGTGGCACCCCACACTCCATTCTTCTTTTCTACAACAGAAGAAAAAAAAGACATTTTATAAGAAAAGTAGGGAGTTTGTGGTTTTGATATTTTGAAATGAAAAGTTTTATCATAAAAATTCCAAAAGAATAGATTTAATTTAATTTCAGCTGTGTCAACCTTTTACAGTTTTTCCCTCTTGCTTTTCTTGGCTGAAGAAATTCACTAGATTTACTTGGATTTATATGTATTTCAGACATCTCAGAAGTCCATTTGGGGAAAAATGCATTTACTGTCAAACAAATACTGATCTATAATATGGCATCACAAATTAATCCCAGTTGTAATATGGTGATGGTCAAAGTTAGCCAGGCATAATGTGGCCCAATACATCGAAATACAAGGCATTTCAGGAAATGAAATAATTTCTGGGACTAAAAGTTTACAGCTCATTATCTTTAAAGGAAAATTTGTTAAACTGTTATCTTTATACTGCTTTCAGGTTTTCTATTATAGCACTTCTTTGGAAATGTTAGTATCGATTGCTATCATATAGAGGTCTGTAAATAGAAAAACGAATTAAAATTTTACATTTAATCCAGAAGGTTAAAAAGAGTGCTCCCCTGAAGAGGAGGAGATGACAAGGGACAGTCACCCTGAGACTCACTGCTTCTCTGGATCAATGTCCTGCATCTTTTGGTATTCATGGTTCACCATGATTTCCCGATGCCTGTTGAGTTCCTTTGTAAAGCCTTTGCTAGTGATGTTTTTACCCACACAGAACTGAACTCAGCAACAAAATCCAGTTAACTAAACAAACAAACATGAGGAACTCAGACTCTGGCCATGATGCCAGTGGCAGGATCCTGAGAGGAATCTGTGGGAGGCAGCCCAAAAGCCTGTGCCAGAGGCTACCCAACTTTCCATCTCTGCCCAGCCTTCGTCTGTTTCTCTTCTTCAAGGAAAAGGGGGGGCCGGGATGTGGCAGCCCCTCGCTGCCCTTCCCACTGCTGCTTTGGGCAGATCCCACCAGGCTGCAGAGATTCCTCTTGTCCATTGGTCTTTACGCCTCTGTCCACAGGGTGGAGGTCATGACTTGCGTATAAGCCAGCCTGCACAGAAAATAAACATCAAAGCTAGGATTATAGAGGCATCGGATCATGAAGCAGAATGAGAAGGTGGAAAGCAAGAGGAAATATTTGTGTGCCAAGGGGAACAACAGCTAAAAGATCATCTTGTCACAAAGAACATTTTGCCTTTGTGGTTTGTCTCTTGTTATGTGCCACCCACACAGAGCTGCGCTCCAGCTCTCTCTAGCACGGAAATTTATTGAGGAGGCTGGAGACTCCAGTAGGACTACTTGATGCTTCAGTTTGATTGTGGATCAGGCAAAAGTGCAGTGACCCTTGGGAACCCACATTTGGAGCTGTTATTAGCAGGGATTGTGCTGGAGGGGTGAAGCTGAGGGCTGTCACTTAACAGTGTGAGGACCATTGTTAGAAAGGAATCTGTGTCGGTAGCAGGTCTCCAGTGAAGGGAAGAGGAAAATAGTTCAGCACTGATGGAAACATGGTCTTTTCACACTGCATTTGTCTTGTCTTCCAAGCGCAAGTGTATCACATTAAATACAATTTCCTTTATTTCCAAGAGCCTTATATCTTTATTTCATAATTAGCATCTCATAGTTATAAAGAGAAAGAAACAAATAATGTCTCATGTCCTGTATGATTTTTCTGTCCTCTCAGCAAGATTGTTTTGTCTTAGTTGTTCAGTTATGTAATCTCTTATCAATCCTATTAAAACAGCAGCAAAGATTTGTCATGAGTGTTACTCCAATTTGCTCAATGGTGTTCTGAACATACTTTTCATTCTTTAGCAATATCTTATCAAAACAAGGTTGTCTTATCAACAGCTTTAACTGAAACAAAATTACAATTTTCAGGTTTTAGGATGGGAAGGATTTGAGAGAAGACTGAAGCACCTCTGGCCTGAGAAATCCCATTACAGGGAATCAGACCAGGGGAGATTTCTGATAAGACTCACATACAGGCTTGAGCTGTGGAGTGGGACACAGAGAAATAGGAAAAATTCAGCATAGCTGATTTAAAAAGGGGCTGATAATGGGTGACAGACACCAGAGTCATGTGCAGGGCATCTTTAACGCCTACTGTGTGCCCCCAGCCTAGGCATACACAGCAGGGCTACAGTGGGTACTGAGTGCTGGGTGGTGCACCACTTGCACTTACCGCAGGAGCCAGGTGAACCTCAGAAAAATTTCACCTTGTGTTACAAAGATTTGGTAGGGATAGACCCCTGGAAGTCAAGAGCCACCCCCAGGACAGACCCCTGGTGCAGAACAGCACCTGAGAGAAGAAAGCAGGTGTGATAACTCCAAAGCCTGGAAGCGATCTGAGGCACAAGGAGAGAAAGAGTGAACCTAGCACCCAACCAAAACTCTCCACTAAACTCTCTTTTCTTTCCCATGTTTTCTTCTGCTTTTTGTTTCATACTGATTCTGGAGGAAATAGTGGCATGCATTCCTTCCCCTTATGGCTGGGACAAGGTCAAGCACAAGTGGGTTACATCTGGGGAGAGTGTCCTCACTTTTTTGCAGAGCTGAGCTGTACTACAGGGATTTGCTGCCAGTTTGTCAATCTTGCATGGGATGAAACTCCTGACATGGTAACTATAGGTTTATTTTTTTTCAACTGTTTTGCTTTGTCTTCCAGGGTTTGGTATGACCACCCCAGCCACCGTTGGAGGCAAAATTTTTCTGATATTTTACGGCCTTATAGGATGTGCAGGGACCATTTTGTTCTTTAACCTGTTCCTGGAACGCTTGATCACAGTCATAGCTTATGTCATGAAGTCCTGCCACGAAAGACAGCTGAGGAGGAAAGGCGTTCTCCCTCACAACGGCCGACGGGGCTCAGGGATGTCTGAGGTGGACAGCCTGGTGGGCTGGAAGCCCTCTGTGTACTATGTCATGCTGATTTTATGTGTAGCATCACTCATCATTTCCTGCTGTGCCTCTGCAATGTATACACCAATCGAAGGGTGGAGTTACTTTGACTCACTTTACTTCTGCTTCGTGGCCTTCAGCACCATAGGTTTTGGTGACCTGGTCAGTAGCCAGAACATCAAGTATGAAAGCCAAGGCCTTTACCGCTTTGGCAATTTTGTCTTCATACTCATGGGGGTGTGCTGCATCTATTCCTTATTCAATGTGATCTCTATTGTGATCAAACAATCCATAAACTGGATATTAAAGAAGTTGTCCTGCAAGTGCTGCCACAGATGCCAAAGAAGATTATTTCGTTCAAGGAGGAACGTGGTAATGCCTGGAAATGTGCGCAGCCAGAGAAACATCTCCATCGAGACTGATGTTGTCAATGAGAGTGACACAGACGGACGCCGTCTGTCAGGAGAGATGATCTCCATGAAAGACTTCCTGGCCTCAAATAAAGTCTCATTGGCCATCATGCAGAAACAGCTGTCAGAAACTGCTAATGGGTATCCGAGGCAAATGAGCTGTAATTCAAAGCAAAACGGATTCTCTGGTGGGGTTGGAGCCCTGGCAATTATGAATAACAGACTGGCAGAGACAAGTGTGGATAGGTAAAATTGTAACAGTAATAACAGTGAAACAGTGTGAGCCATTTCAACAAGTATTGAAACAATGTGAATCGAGTGGAAGTAGCTAGGGAGAGAGTGCCAGCAGAGGCTGGGATGAATGTGAAGGGCATACCTTCTGACACTTTTTTGGGGCTGTCACTTAATGTTTTTGAATTGCACCAGTCCCAGCCTTCCTTATTTCCCATCCCTCTGCTTCTCAAGCAGGTCACTGCAGAAGGAATTTAATTTAGCCTCCAGATCAAATTTCCATGTCCTGTTCTTTTCCATTTATGTGAAACACAGATTTCAGGATAAGAAATATGTGGGATGGGAAGAAACCAAGTGTGTCTACTGAACACATCCTTAATTCAAAGATTTTTCTTTGAGCTTTCTGTCTTATTCTCATCATACCTGTTTCCTGAAAGTAGTTCATCTGAGACCAAAAGAGGAATAAGCCTTTCTCTATGATATTGCAGATCTAATTTAATGAAAAATAGTATGAAAGTTGGTAGGTATATTTTGGGGTTATTGTGATGTGAATGAGGAGAGAATTTTGCCCTTAGAATTTAATTTAGTCTTTCCTTTAAGAGGATACTGTCAAAAGTGATAGAATAAAAATTTATCCTACTTTTGTTTTCTTCTCTTCATTTGCAAAACATGATTTTTTTCCAAGGCTACTTTTTCTTCTAGAATTGAATCACTGTGGCTTTCTGTTTCAAAAATATCAAATTAAATTAAAAACTGATGTATTTATGAGTGGTATGAATTATTCAACATTTCAACTTTCTGTTCATATTTGGCTCAATTGTGACTGAAGCAATTGAATATCAGCATTGTGTAGTGCAACTAGTAACTGAGTTTACGCAACAGGCTTTAGTATGCAATTAGATTGTCATGCCAGCATCCAGGTATTATTATAAATGACTGTGATCACAGAATCACTTTGGCAGTGTCCTTTTTCTCTTTCATGTAATTCTGTAATTCTTCCCCTCTTTCTCTGGGTTTTGGTAATGATAATGACAGGGTCCTGATTAGGGAGGTAGAAAATGTTTAACTCCTCATTTTTCTCAATGAAATGTTCTGAGTGTTCATTATGACTAGAAAAGAAATTTCAATGAGAAAAGTAATTACAGTGAGAAGAACATGAAAACAGGAAAAGAGGTGATCTTTAATGACAGTGAAATCATCCTTTTTAATAGGTAACTGGAGAAATAAGGGATCAAATTAACCTAAAGTCTGGAAAGAATTTAAGGCAGACTGGGCTGACTTCCTGATTCTCCTTTATCCATGCAATGCATTAAAGCTAAATAGTATATGAGAGTGTAAATAAGCAGAATTGGTCACAAAGGACTGGAAAGGAATAGCACATGCATCAGGACTAAATGTTGCCTCACAGCCAGAAAGACTTTCAGAATACTACAATTTTAGGGAATTTAAAACATCATATGCAGTTCTCATTTTCTCTCATACAGAACAATGCAAATAGCCTCTTCAGTTTAATTTCTACTGGGAATTGATAACATATCCTATTTCTTCATTCTGGCCAAAAGTTCTTTTATTTAGGTTTCTAATACTGTAGAATAACATTTTGATACGCATTTAAAGCAATATTTGAATTTGAAAACAAAAGCTTGGAATTCTTTCATATAATAAACTAACCCCAGATATCCAACAAATGTACTTAACCAGTGAAAAGAATTGCAGTCTCTTTTGACTTTATTAGAGGTAAAATCCTAATTTAAAGTCACATCCTACTGTCCTTAGTTACAAGGAAAGCTTAAAGCTGAAGTCCTTAGTCCAAATTCTGATATTTATCAACTCAGCTGTGCAGCAGTGGAATAGCCCTAGCAGTATCCCTTCATATTTGCATCCATGTAAAATCTGAACCAGCTCCCAAACCCTAACTTTGGTGAGAAAAGCAGTCTTATTTGGTTTTTTGTGGAGTTACGTATTAGCAAAAATTGGCACAGAGTTAATTTAGATGGTATTATAATACCCAAGATCCATTACATTGTTACGCTGTTTTTTTCATCCCAAGACGTTCTTTGTCTCAACCTCACTGAATAAAAATACTTGGATATAAAAAGAGAAAAGTACTACTCTGAAGCCTTCTTTTCAAATTCATCCAGCAATACCTCTGTTCACTGCCTGTAACACTAAGATCTCGTTGTTACTGATGTATTCCTCTTGCTGCCAACTAGCAGAAATAGTTTAGGACTTGACCCATTGCTTGAGCAATCATTAAGATGGTCTTCAGGTGGTTTCAACTGCTCTCAAGATATGAGACAGTTGTGTTGCTCTGTTTCATTCTTTGTGGTACCAAGCCTTGGTTATTCATCACCACAGAGGAATCTTATCAGCTATTTTCAACAGATCTGAAAGCATCTATGGTTGCAAAAGCAAGGGACTAATAAATAGTCTTGATCAAAGAGATTTGGCAAGGCTGTCTGAGATCACTGTTGTACACTAACTCTACTTTCATTGAGTTCTGACCTTATGCTCTCTCAAGCAGTGCCTTCCTCATGACACAAGCCTGCCACCTGAAAGGATCTTTGCACTGGTTTTGTGGTTGGATTTCATGTCCACTGAAGATAATGAGGGAATAACTGCGCTGATCACCTCTATTCGGATGTGAATTGCTGTTCCAGAGATGAAGGACTGGCGTATTCTGTCCCTGTGCCATCTTGTATAATGATGTCATCCTGTCCTTAAAAGACCTCTGATTTTGCCGTTGAGTTTGTCTTATAGCAGCCACACTATACATTAAATGAGGTAGCTTTACCAAGGAGACCAATATTCTTAGAGAATATTTGGGGATAAATAATAAGACTTTTAAGATCAGAGAGGGAAATTTCCAACTCCAGTCTCATGGTACTACTACTGTGGTTTTTTCTAAAGGCATTGGACAGAGAAATCCTGAAAAGCTCTGTGCATAATGTAGCATCATGTTATTAAATTCATAAAACATGTGGAGATATAAACTTAAATGTGCCAAAAGAGCAGAATTTAGTGTAGGAGTCATAAATACCCATCCTGTGTGAAAAATAAGTTACAGCAAAAATACAGACATCGCATTTCTTGCATTACTTTTTAAAGTAGCAATGAGGAATTAAAGGAAAGAGATCTTATTTCAAAGCTGTGTAAATTTTAATGCCATATTGTTTAACACTAAAATCTCAGTCAACAACAGAAACCTGCTTTCACAAGTAATGAGTTTCCCTATTGCCTGCTATGAATTTGCATGATGGCTAATGAGATATGGGTGTGGAGTTTTAAGGCAAAAATGCTTTGGTGGAAACCTTGGATGTATTGAGCCTCTGAATCTGCACTTAAGAGGTCAGCACTTGAAGAGTACCGCTAAAATCAGTGTGTTAATCTGCAGGTTGGAGCCTGGCAGATTGAAGCTCAAAGTCCTTAAAGGAGTAATCTACTGGAAGTTAGCCTTAGTTATGCCACAACGTAATAATATTATTATTGAACAATATCATTATTACACATTGGAAGGAAATATCTACTGCTAACCAAAATACAATCAAATAAGTAAAGATGGCTCTTAGGATTTTCTGCCTAGTTTAGGTTTTGTAACATTTGTGCATCAGATGCTTTGCAGGGTGTGTAGATGTCAGAGCAGCTACATTCATTTATCTCCATGAAGGACATGGATATCTTTTTGCAAGGACATGAACAGACTTTTTAAAGGCATTTAATTCCTGCTGAAAGTCAATTCACTTCCCACCACACATTGACTTTCAGTAGAAGTCAGGTACCTAATTCCTTTAGGCAATTTCAGAATCCCAGCCATATATTAGGTTTTGACTCTAAGCTGACCTGACAGTGTCCCTGAAAAGTTCAAACACTTGGAGCAAAGTTTCAGTTCTGCAGCACTCTAATAGCTGAATTCATTTATCTAAAAGCCTTTTATGGCTAAAGCTTTGCATCAACCAAATAACACAAGCAATATTTACAGTTTGTTTGATTTAATCTTGGCCTTTGACAGATTTAATTATATTTGACACATTTATAAATGAGAGAACAAAGAGAAGGTAGGGCTGGACATGAAAACCAAACCAGCTCCATTTCTCAGACTGAATTAATCGAGAGAAAGAGGTCAGGTTTGGAAAAAAGCTTCTCAATTAACATTATATCTGAATAAAGTTTCTCTGGAGATGGAGGGTATTAAGTTGTTTGGGTGACTCCTTTCCAACAACTGTGGAAGTGGAGCTGTTTGTGTGACCCGCTGATGTCCCCACTCTGGGAACAGAAGCTCAGTGAGCCTTAGCTGAGAGAAGGGTCAGCATTTCAAGTAATACAGTTGGCATCTCTTGTTGTTTTGATTTATGTTACTAACACTTGGCTGATATAGTAATTTCTTAGATTCTTCAAGAAGTAGTGAAGTTATTTTGTCCAATTTCATGTACAAGCTGTGGAGAATCACCAAGTGTTTTCTTTCCCCTGGGTAGAAAATACTGCCAAGTACAATGTGCCTATTTGAGAATGTTCAGAGTAGTTTTTTGCTTAATCCAGGGAATAAGAATGCAATCCCTTCCCTGTTCTGTATTTTCCAAACATCTACAAGCAACAATGCCTACACAATACTCTGCTTATTGCTTACAAGGTCACAATTCACTAGGAAAATTAAAGCCATTGCTCATCAATGTGGACTAACACAGTCTTATTTTTTATTAGATGTAAGAGAAACACAGTGTGAACACAAAGAATGGCACTTCGGGTCCAAGTAGTCAGAAGCTTTTTGATGTGACCTGTGTTTAAAGAGCTGTTTCATGTCAAACCAGAGAAAAACCCTGTCACTGCAGACTTTTAAGGGCATTAGTAAATGTAAGAACAACCTTGTGGAATAGATGCCTTAAGTTATATTCTGGTTTTCTACAGTTTCATTCTAATATTTGCCTGCGGTTTTTATTATTTGAAATTATTTGCAATAATACAATAAATAATATAAATCTGCAAAGATTTTGAGAGGTATGATAGTCAGATATGTTTTAAATTAAATACTTTTTTCCTCAGGCTACCTAGCTTTTTATAAAGGGGAACTTTGATGAAAGGCAGAATAAACTCTTTCCAAACAAGAGTACAGTTTCTGGATTCAAATGGATCTCCTGTTAGGTGTACATGCAGAAGCTCTCAGAGAGGCAAGATGGCCTAGTTTTCAAACATTATCTTCTGAAATGTCTTTCAAAGCTATTCCCCTTTTAAAGCCATAGAACACTGTCAGTGCTTACTTTTTGTAGTCTTATCTGAGAAAACTTAACCTTGCTTTTTGATATATTTAGAAGAAACAGATGCTCATGAAGAAAAATGAAAATAACCTTACATAACCTTTACATGTATCTCTTGGAGCTGCTGAAATCCTCATCTTTATCCTAACTTGAAGTTTACATCAGAGTTTAATTTCTCCAGCTCATCAAAGAGGTTTGGTCTTACTAGTGAATAGTCACAGTTCAAAACCAAGAACTCTAAAGTTATATTTGTTCATCTGTTCTAAATGCTGCAATGAGCCTGTGGGTGCCATCTAGTCTCCAAACCCTTTTCCAAAGCAGGCCTAGCTAGTTCCTGCCCTTCTCCATGCAAATATCTGTCATTTGCTGGGCAATGCTGCTTCTGCATGTA